GGAAGATGGAAATTTGATCGCTTTCCTCTCTGTCGGCACTAATTTTCTAATGGAAAAAAATTCCCACAGAAAACGAAACTTTGAATGTGTTGCTCGTTTATTTTTAGTCTTTAATAGTCACCGTTTGTTTATATATATACATATATATGTATGTATGTATGTATGTGTGAATGTATGTATGTATATATATATTTATATACATACGTGTGCATGTCGTATGCATGCATGAATATAGGAACTATACCTTTGGGTTTGCTTGAAAATTAACATCTGTACATACTTACGTATGTACAACCCATTTGATGAGTTAGTAACCACATTTACCCTATAATCACTGATGTGTATGTATGTATATATTTATAAAGTTGTAAGCATGTATGCGAAATATATTTCTACGGGCACTCTCATGTGTATGTGTTAAATTCATCTTTTTGTGTATACATACATGAGTATGCATATGCACACAAGCATACATACTTGTGTATGTGTGTTAAAAAAAATAGTGTATGGTATATATACACCCGAAGTAGATATTTATGAACATCCACATTCACATTTCAAATACGGTTCACGATAGAAGAAAATATATATGTGTACATATGCCCGTACACATACATACATACATACATGCATACTCATTGGTATCCGATTTTCTATGCCTTTAGCACTGGCAAAGTAATTTTTCATGGCCGTTATATACATACGTACAGAAATATGTGTGGGAGTAAGCTTAACACGTCTATGCTTAAATAAATGTTGCTTTTTATTTTTATTTTTATTAAACCTTGCAAGTGTATACAAACATATATACGATAGTAATATGTAATGTATGTACACAAGCAAAGCGATTGATATTTTTGTTTCAAATCACTTCTGTGGGATATTAATTCAAGTGAGCCATTTCTATTTTTATGCCCGACAACCGTTACACAATTCCACGAATAGTCTCAGCTATATGCATGAAGTATGTACATACATACATACATATGTAGGAATATACACACATTTATATTTTTAGACATACTACATATTAATTTAAAAATTTATATGGTAATTGGCTTTATTCCATTTGTTTAATTGCAGACTTCACATTTCTGGCATTTATGATAACCATTGCAATAATTATTCCTTGAACTTGTTGATACATATATATACATGAATCTATATATATATATATGTATATATATATATATATATAGGTATGTACATATACATATATGTATATAATCTTATTAGATCTTTCAATTGAATTTAATTCACTTTCACTTTACATAAACACAACTGATCCATATTTGAGTATTTACTTATATATACACATACATATCTAGTGCAATTTGGTTGGTACGTACAACTAGACTACAGACTAACACAGTGCAGACCACAGCAAGAAAATTATCCTTCTGTGGAAACGAAGCGAACTCCACGAGTGTTGATCTATTACTGTTTCTTTTGAACTGATCTCTAGGAGAATAAGCATAGGCACAGACATCAGACATTATCTAGCCATTCTAGCTTTCGTCATCAATTCTCTTGCCTCTCTCTATCTCGCGCTCTCTCTCTCGCTCTCTTCATTGATGTTATTTCTCATTTTTGTGGAATTTGTTGCGCTTTGCAGCTTTTCTACGAGCACGGCATAGCCTTATGATGCTCAAGAAAATGGAAACAAACAATTTATTCAAGAGTCTAAATAACATGCAAATGATCCAGCAGCAGTGCTGCCACATATTTTCAAAATGGCTAAAAAAGCAAATTTTGAGTTTCGCGAAAATCTAGGATTTAATATCTCATTGACCTCAAATTCATTTTCAAAGCATTTTGCTCAAATTCATTTAAGGGCTGTTTCAAAGATATTTTGAGTGAAGTTTTAAGTTTTCTCCCAACGGAAGTTATTGATACGTGTTTCAGCGAATTTGAAAATTCCACCTGCAAGAGTGGTAAATTGATGGAAAACGGCTGAGCGAATGTTGTTTGTTTACTTTTCGATCGGCTTGAAAATCCTTTGAAAAAATTTATTTGATAAGTTTTTTACAAAATCTGCCACTGTTGGAAGAAAAATATAGGTCAAAGGTTGAATGAACAAAAGTTTATTTTTCAGCTTCAAACTGACCAGGTGAAGACCCCTGTAAATCAAAAATGTAGCTGGAAAATAACTAAATTGGCAACACTATGTTACTTACCGAGAGTAGACCGTCTCCACCAGTGAAACTGAGTGATATTAATAAATTTATACATAATATACATACCTAAATGGGCACGTGTCTGTGCACTCATGTCCATACATAACCGGCATTACTTATATAAATATATATATATATATATATGGTTGTGTTTATATACTTAATGTGTCGCCACAATACAAAGGCGTTTATTTTTAACAACACTATTTAATTATTTATGACATTTCTCAAGAAAATGTTATATTTATAGTCACCTACATATGTATGTATCTATGAATGTGCGTACAAGCCTTGCATCTATTCAATGCTAGAGCACTGCCAATTCTGCTCTTTAAATTGCTCTCTTAATTTCACACGAAGTAAAAGCACTTGATTATATATATTCGCTCTCTGTCTAGTTATTTTTAATAAGAAGAGCCCATTCCATTGAAAAGGTGTAAGAGGTTGTAATGCTTTGGACTGGGACAAAGAACCCAGGCAAATGGAATTTCAATTGGGATAGTATTGTATATCGTGCTCTGTGAATGTGCTGCAATTTTCGTACAGTTTTTTTTTCATCTAAACTAAATTCTTGATATATCTGTGAGGTATGAGGTAGTGGCAAAGTTGATTAGAGTTGCGAGTTTCGAGTCCGGCACAGAGAGTCTTTTTTATATAATTTTTTAAATCTAACTAATGGATAATGTCTGATAATTTCCGCCTAGGATAATGTATCCCACTGCATTTTTCATTTATATACTTTTAGCCAGTTAAAATATATTCTTGTTCATATATATAGTTTATTGAAATTGCTCGGGCTACGAGAATTTATCATTCTCTCTATAATGATACCATTGTTTAACTTCATGTATATAAATTTATTTTAATTTAAAAGAACAAACGAATGGGGGGTTGAATATTATAAAGCAATGTATCTACTACTGTTTTGTATCGTATACTGTGTTTTGTGTAATAATACTAATACATTCAATAAACACACTTATCCCGCATAAAGAAAAACAGGGGTTATAAGGCGAACATCCATAAACCGTCAAAATTTGTGCACGTGATTTAACCCTGCGTACTTGAGAACGCTCTGTTAGCAACCACTTTTGCAAAATTGTTTATTTTGAATGATTCATTGAGTTAAGTCCCGTATTACAAATGTCTTAATGGCCCTCTCTCTCGGCATAGTCACTGAGTACACTGGAGCAACTTCATTAAAATGTTTGTTAAACTTAACTTTAACAAGGACCCTTGTGCATGCAACCAAATTGAAAATTGAATTGAAGGCTTATTTTACTGTAATCAACTGCAGCAGTATAGCTGCTTAAAAATGACTCCTCGAAAACATAAATACAATTTCAGAGCTATGCATACATACAGACATTTACACATTTCGCTCTGCACCTTAACATTCATATTGGTATCGCACTCGTCTCGTATATATATATAAATATATTATAATAATCCGAAAGGTACAGAGTTCAAATATTATATTATTTGTAGTTTCCAATTGGAAACAAGTCTAATCGGGAATTCCCGACTCTTAACGTATTTTTCAAATACTTCCACAGCTAATACATATGTGTATAAATATCAAAACTCACAACTTTACCTCTCAAAATGCCTTTTTTAAATTTTATTAGGAACAGGGGGTGGTTTCCAAACAGTTACATATTCTGTATTTGCGTATTCCATACGGGAGTCTACATCCCTAATTCGGTCTAATTAAGTTCAGAGATATACTCAATTCATTGAAAATAGAACAAGTTGATGATTTGAAAAAAAAGTCTTGCTGCGCGGACTCCAGGAGGTGCCTTGTTCTCTAGATCTAATAGTTACTGTGATTCGGATATGGTGCATACCTTTGTGGGATAGGAGATGTCTTCCTTTGCTTGTTATAAATATTTCTAATGGGTTCAGGGGGTATACAAATCCAGTTTAGGCCCGAGCAGTTTAAGCCATGTCAATCTCTGATTCTATAAAAGCTGTTATCTCCAGCTTTCAAATAAGCCCCCTTTTTTCTCGAAAAACGCATCAAACCCGTTTGCGTCTCCGGTATTTTGGTATAACAAGGAGATAATAAGAGATATTAGAGACAAACAAATACTTCACAGCTACCAGCTAGCCAGCTACCCAAAATTAAACAAAAACTTAAAAATTAACCACAGGAGGTAAAGCTAGTATGCTTTTGGTATATTCACAGCATATTTAGTGTGCGACCTTAACGCCCTTTTAATTTTTTAATTATAGCATAAAATGTTTCAGTACAAAAGAAAATGGACCCTTGGTACAGAATAGCTCCCAGTCGGTAGCTCTGACTTATTTCCATATTGTTTTTGGCCTCGTTAGTTAGCAGATATTGGACCTTATTGGGTCTAAGATGCTTCCTAATGTGTTCCTTTTCTATGCATTTGTGAAACGTTAGAAAATGAAATTCGAGACCACTGGGCATATATCTAGTGTATTTTTATTAAGCTAATGGCTAGTTTTATTTGTGTTCAACGGCCTTATAGCTTAGAGGTAAAGGTTCTTATATATATATGGTATTTTTCAGAATGCAGAAATGAACTCGAGTATTTTCTGATCATTTTAAAAGTTTTTTCACTTTGGTATATTTGACAAATAAAACGTTTTAAATAAAACTAATTTTAATTTGTTTTTTGTTTTTTTTTTTCAAATTTATATTATTTAATCACACCAATTACTGTGATGATTGGTGGAATCCTTGGGCGGAAATATACATATGCACTTTTCTACAACCTCCATGCTTAAATCAGTGATTTGAAGTATTTATTGAAAGATATGTAAATTCGATTTTTGGGTCTCCGAAGTGCTGGCTCGATATGAAAGGTTCGGTTGAGTACATTTTTGAGGCATGAAAGCTGTTTGTGTTTTTTTTTAGATTAGTTTTCCACTGTAAATCCACGGTACTTGCACTTAAGCCCAAGGCGAGTAAAAGCAAGACGCAAAAAACTGCTGTTTTCCCGATCCATGTGAGTTAATGGCAGCAGCCGGATTGGCACCTCCGGAGGATGCCACACCACTGGCCGCTGCTGCATAGTTATAGCTCATGTGTGCGTAGGAAGGCATAGCAGGTGAAATACTCTCGGTCCCAAATCCCGATCCATGACCCAGCCCATGAACTGAGCCGCCACTATTCATTAGACTTGGACTACAAGAAGCTTGGCGAGCCTCCATGCTGTGATGATGGCCAGAGGGAATATGATTCGCAGCTGTGGTTGATGTTAGTGCTGCTCCTGGTGGCGGGGGCGGCAAACTGTAAGCCGAAAGAGATTCGTATCCAGTTGCATTGTTACTGGCCACAGTTCCGGACGCAGCATGTGGATTCGCAATGTTCACCGTTGGACTGCTACTGACACCGCCGGCACTGTCATTTGTGGCACTTCCCACACCAACTAGCTGGTGTGGTGCTATTGGCGGAGGCCGCAAAGGCATGTGGCACGGATACATGGATGGCGGTGTCAGATCTCTTTGTTGCGTAATTGGCGAGGGAGGTGCCAGCGAACCCACTGTTGGATGGCCGAAGTTTGGCATCGAGGATACAGATCTGATCAAATTTGAGAACCGAATCAATTTAGTTGTATAATATACTATAATATATTTCTCATTAATTAACTTACCCGTAACCTTCACTCATTGATATCGCATTGTGGTGCATATTCGAATACATTGCGCTCATCGAACTGCTAAAGCCGCTGTTGAAGTTGAGACGCGGTGAAATGGACGGGACGAGTGTGTGAGGAACGTGATGATGGTGTTGATGCCGCTGGTCAGCAATTCCTAGCCCTGGTGAACATGCATTGCCCATGTCATCGTTTAATCGCCCACCGCCAATAGCATGCGCTCCAGATCGAATATGAGCACCTCCTGAAGCTGCGTGGTGTCCATCCGAAATTTCAGACCCACCCGTTGGCGTTGCTATTGGATTCGGCGATGCTAAGCCATTCAGTCCACCTACAAATCAAATATAATAAGAAAATTAATTAAATCGATAAAAATATATAACCAAACCCTGCTTTCTCTTAGCATATCCCCAGCTCACTTAAGCTAGAGACTCCCAATCCCAATCTTCCCAAAGGGAAGAAGCACAATCGGAGCTTAAGTTGTGCATGTATTGAAGCGCTGGGTTAGGGGTATTTCCTAGTCGGGCACTCCCGACTAGGTCACCCCTCCTCCTCCTACTCCTTATGTGGAACCGAGTAGCGAGTGTATGCTCGACTACAAAATCCCCTATACCCCTCAGTAAACATAATATTTTGGTTTATATGCAGACAGACAGACGAACTTGAATTAATCGACTCAGCTTGTCGTCCTGATTAAGAATACATATACTTTATGGGTCGGACATGTCTACTTTTCATTGTGTACAGGGTATAAAAAGAAAGCTGATGGGTTGTAACATAAGCCAGGGTTCAAAACTTACTTCCTGCTGAGCCAGCCAATAGGGAAGGGCAACCGCCTAAGCTATTGGGACTGTCAGTCAGAGATGTTGTTGCCGATGTCGAGGATGATGTTCCATTTGTACCGGTTGAGTTTGGCGTCCGTCGCTGATTTCGTAGTTTTTCTTCGCGACGCCACTTGGCCCGTCTGTTCGAAAACCAGACTTGTATCCTTGCTTCGGGCAATCCTATCTTTCCAGCCAACCGTTCGCGGGCAAAGACGTCCGGATAATGTGTTCTTTCGAACTCTAAAAACATCAAAAGGTATACGAAATTAACGTAAAAGATTCATCGGTGGAGAATGCGGATTTAAGATTCTTTAGGCGAAATTATAAGTTTAATCTGATTGGCTTCAAACATTTGTGGCAAAACCTCACATAAGAACTTAATGAATACGTGTTTCAGCGAATTTTTCAATTTCACCCTTATCTGTGGTAAATTACGGAAAACTTTCATTGTTTTCGTTTACCGTCGGATCGGCTTCAAACTTATTTTCAAAGATCTTTAAATGCTTAATGAACGTAAATATATTATGGGCGGAAACCATTGATTCCCACTTTATGTCCCTTATTCGATGGACTTTAAGTTTATTTTCTATGTAAAAAATATATCTTTAGATTTTGAGTTTAAGATAGTACGTATAGATTGAATTTGTTTACGGACGGAATGTGGGGGAAAAATGTTTATCTAAAATTTGAAGCAGTAAACTTGCACTCGCTAGAATATATACTATAATTGAAACGGTTCAAATTGCAAATGGCATTTTTCATTTGGGCACTCTCTACCAGGTCTTACCTTTAACTTTAATATTAAAATAAACATACCTTTTTCTAGACTGTCAATCTGGTCATTTGTAAATGATGTTCGGTTCCTTTGCAATTTCCTTTTTAAAATTAATCTAGCCTGATCATCTTCACTCGTTCCTATGTTGGAGGCACCACCATTTGAGTTATCTCCTTCGCCTGAACCAGTTTCATCTGATTGGTGGCCATCGAGCTCTAAAAGACAATCATCGTATTAATAATAGTATTTTATTTCCACTTGGCTTTCTACATATATATATGTATATATTTATATATATGTAGGTTAGATATATAAAACAAGACCCTCCTTAGATAATTTAAGACTTTGTAACATAAAATCTAAATTCCAAAATGCAGGTAATTTTAGATGCATTTCTGCCCCAAGCAAACGGTACGGCTAAATTCATAATGGTTTTATTGGAACCTCTGTTCGGGAAGTTTTCGATTTAGTAGTGAAATATGCCTGCAGCTCATACTGTTATATTTGATTTTTAAAAGTGTCTTATTCTTATCCATTTATTGAGTACTAGCAGTGGAAGTATTCCATAGGCCACTTGCCACACGGCAGGGTGTATGTGTGTGTGTCTGTGTGTGTGATTTAGTGCATACATGCATGTATGAATGCATTTATGTATATATGTATGCTTGCTTATTTTCCAATAGCAAACGCAGACCAAGCTTATTTATCGCTGTGCTGCAAATTTAAATAAAACGAATATGTCTCAAGTGCTCTTCTCCTCGATTCTCAAGAATTCAAGTAGGCTCTGCAGTTTTTCATGCATAGCTAGTAGTGTAGTGTTTTTTTTTATACCCTGAACCCATTAAAAATGGGTAAAAGGGGTATAAAGTATTTCTGCAAGTGTATGTAACAAGCAGAAGGAAGCATCTCCGACCCCATAAAGTATATATGTTCTTGATCAGCATCAACAGCCGAGTCGATCCGAAAATGTTTTCGAAGCCCGTCGGATGTTAAGCAATAAACGGTCATACAACCGTTTTTCATGATTTTGCCACACATGCGAGTGGAATTTTCCTAAAACCCCGTCTTAACATTCTCCTTCCTATAAGGTAACTACAATGAAAATTTTAGCTTCCTAGTTCTTGCGGTTTGGGTTGTGCGTTGACCATCAGTCTGTCAATCACGACAAACAGTTTTCTATATAGAGCGGTGTTCAGATTTCATGAAAGTTTGCATACGTTCCTCTTTCCGTACAGTCCACCCGTCTGGATCGGAGCACTATATCAAAACACCAAAGTTGTATAAAAACATCGTTGTGTAACTGTGATTTGAAATTTGTTACAAATCCATTTAATTTTGGCAGAGGTAACATATTTAATATTTAACACTCCGGAATTACATTTTCTTGTACTGCATGTACAATTTTTGAACTTTTATAAATTGACATCGATTGGAAAATAAACACAGAATTTTTTTGAGTCGGAAGCATGCATATGTTTCATTTACTCATATGTGAATGTACATACATTACACCTGCGTTATGTATAATGTACATAATGCGTTTATAACCAGTATTGAATCGGCTGAAAATAAGAGCATTAATACGACATGAAGTCCTGCTTCAAACCACATCAGCATCCACATCTAAGAGACCGCAGGCCGCAACATTTGGATCTCAGCTTGTCACTTTTGATATACCAAAGGTGTGTGTGTGTGTGTGTGTGACTGTGTGTGTGCGTTTGTTTGTGTAACTGGCACTGAATGTGAGTGAATGTGACAGAGCAAATAGATGCTGATAGCTCTGAGACATGCCGCAGGTCCGGACTTAGGTCCAGTCCAGAGCACACGTCACTTGCCTAGCAAACTGCAATGTGCTGACAGGCAACAACAGCAACACAAGAACAACAAAAATCATCAGCCATAAACAGCAACAAGAAAAGCAAGAACAACAGCACAGCTAGGGGATCGAGGTATAAAGATAGCCGTAACAGCAGAACAAAAACCTCGAAAGCAGAAGATACAACGGTGCGAGGAGGAGTTGGCTGACAGGGGAGGTCGACAGAGCGACACTCTTTCACAGTTAAATACGTTAGAGACAAACGAGATAAGGCTCAAAATGTGTAGCATGAGGTTTTTCAGATACCGATTTTATAAATATGTATTTTTCGCTTTCTATTTATGCACCCCATCATCAACTCAACACACTCCCCCTCTAACCATATCACCGACCATTGCCCCAACCCCTGTGTCACCGCTGCCACCCCCACGGGTTTGGCGTTTAATGAAGTGTCATCGCCTGTAAAATGAGTCTGCAAATCGCATTAAAGCAACTACTCGGTTAAGGGTAAACTTGTCAAGAACGACAGCAATTCCCGTTGCCGCTGCCGTTGCCGTTGCCAGAGGCTGCGGATTATACGGGGCTACAGTTACAGTTACTTCTTCTGACACACCCAAACAGTTAAGGCAAACACGCGGTCGGACTTTAGGCACAGATTTTGTTTTCAAAACTTCGAGCGTATGTGGTTAAACTAATTAGATATTTGGTAAATGTCTGCGAATGTGAAACACATTTGTAAGCATTTGAACTAACTTTTTTTTTTTTCAAATTTTGATACCCTGCACCTAATGGCGAGTAGTGCCCAATTAGCTGATATCCAAAACCGAGCGCTCATCACAAACATTCCAACTACCTTTTATATACATTTATAAAACTATCCCGAATACTTTTTGGATCTGTGTATACTATGCGAGAACCTGCCAAGCAAACTGTTTCTGTTCAGCTCTTATTATGTTCGAATTATGCTCAAATCCTAACCGATTCTTATCAATTACAAGCGGAAAAGTTGTAGATGTTGTAGAACTTGAGCGTATGTGGTTAAACTAATTAGATACTTGGTGAATGTCTGCGAATGTGAAACACATTTGTAAGCATTTGAACTAACTTTTTTTTTTTCAAATTTTGATACCCTGCACCTAATGGCGAGTAGTGCCCAATTAGCTGATATCCAAAACCGAGCGCTCATCACAAACATTCCAACTACCTTTTATATACATTTATAAAACTATCCCGAATACTTTTTGGATCTGTGTATACTATGCGAGAACCTGCCAAGCAAACTGTTTCTGTTCAGCTCTTATTATGCTCGAATTATGCTCAAATCCTAACCGATTCTTATCAATTACAAGCGGAAAAGTTGTAGATGATTTCAAATAAGCTTCTGTAGGAAGACCACTTTAAATTAAAAGTGTATAATATCGCATTTCAGCCGGCTCCCTAGCATAGCCATAAATCAAATAAATCAATTAGTTGGAACTGCCCACCAATCTAAGCCACAAGTTTAAGTGTGTTGTTTTTTTTATAATATACGAAGATTCTATAGCACAATCAAATCTACCGCTGAACAAGATCGGTTAAGAAACATAGAGGTTATTAAAGAAAGCGTGTGTTAATTGGTTATTAGCAAACCAGGTGTGCACTCATACACATATGCATACACACAAATAAAATTGCAATTGCTATTCTGACATTACCCGTGCTATGAGTATGTGCGGCTATATTAGTTTAGTTTTTTTCATTCTTGAATTCTTGGTATGGCTGTATGAGGTATGAGGACAAGGTTGAATGAAGTTGGCGAGCTCGACTCCAGAACAGGGAACTAGTTTTTCTCCTAGATGCAAACAAGTGTGTAGCGCGAACAGCATTTGGTGTTGGTAGAAGAAGGTTTAGGGTATCCCCTAGTCGGGCACTCCTTACTTGTATTTCTTAAATATTAATAATGAGTTCAGGAGCAAAAAAAAAAAGGGTTTCAATACCGATTTATATAGATTTTAAGCAAATTCGGACTGTACGAAATCTAGGAGGACCAATGTTCAAGTCCTTAGCTCTTGTAGATTCCCAGATCGACGCGTTCATACATAAGGACAGGCGGACGTAGCATGATCGAATCGGCTATTGACGCGGACTGAGAGTATACACACTTAATGCGGTCGTTGTGCTTCCTTCTGTCAACCACAAATTTGCAAAAAACCATTTTTCCCTTATTACCCATTTTCAAAGTTACATGAGTTATGAGTTAGAATTTAATCGGCTGGAAAAAAAGCTTTCATCCAACAGTTTTCCAACAATTTACAAAAATTCCAAAATTGTCTTCATTTACTTTTCATAAAAAAGTTTAAATTCTATCGGACTTTGCTTATATAACAACCTTGGACCTCAATTTTACACCTGGAAAGGGTTGATTTCCCGAAAAATTTTGGAACACGACTCAAATGAATTTGATGAACGAAACCAAATTTTTGTACAACATCTGCTAATTCTTGGCTATTCAATGCTAGCCGAAAGGCTATATTTGCCAAAAAGGCTTTTAATGATATTTAGAATTTTAGTTTTTGAGAACAATAAGTAAATTTGTGAGTTGATTTTTTATGCGAGGTTAAAAAGCGATGTTTTTTTCGGACTTAACATACATTTCTAGTGTTATGTGTTGGCTCGGATAATTTCCGAAATATGCTCTGTACTGAAAACCGATATTTCCCTATTTTGGATATGCAAGAACCTGCATTCTGAATTTGAGCTCCAAACCCTGAGATAAACGCGCCCATATGACTTACAGACAGACCGAAGGATATCAATAGATCGACTGTTTTTTTTTATGTATATCAAAAATTTGTATCATTATGGGGTTGTGGATGCCTCTTCCAGACTTGTAAATATATTTTAACAACTCAATATACTTGTTTTCCCCATTCTACGAGTACAGGGTATATTTATAAGAACAACCTTTGTCATGAATCAATTTTGCCCAAAATACGCACGATTGACTTAAAATATCTTTTGGATGTCGCTTATGTTAATGCTCACTACTGTTTTTTACATGCTTTCCTCACCGATATGGCTAAGGCTAACCTTTCTCCTCAGCACTGTGATTGTGTTTTATGTATCAGTCTGTATCGCCGACAATTCGATAAGGGCAAACCTGCCGTGCGTGCGTAAATAGAACAGACACGTGACCCAGCGTCCAGTGCTTGATTGGCCTTGCCAGACTTTCTGTTCTGTTGTCTCCATTCGAAGTTTAATGTTACCTCCCCCTTAACTTAAAGATATTGCGTAGTGAAATGTAGACTACCAGCTGTGGCTGGGAACTCAATCATATGTGTACATAGATACACACAATAAATGCAGTTTCCTCAAAACAATTTCCAGTCTCAATTGAAATATATTTCCGTAAACTATTATTTTTGGCCTGCAAATTACATACAGGGTATTTCCCAGTTAGTATGTCTAGTCTAGAATATTATTATCTACTAAGTTATCTCTATCTCCTGCGTCTATCAAAGCTTCCAATGTCTGCTTTCATAACGTAGTACATGGCCATATTCAATTAATATAATTTAGCTCATCATGTGGTGTTTTGTATTAGTAATTATTTTACAAAGAGAAAGTTCACACTTTTACTATATGCCGGCAAGAAACTTTCTTGGATCTTATCAACATATTTTGTATGGCTGGGGGTCTTTTTAAACTTACCCTTTTTGAGCATTACATCGTCTGCTGAAATGGTGCAGTTGCCCAAACGAGCGCTTTGGCCACCTATGTTGATGAGATCACTTGGTGGGGTCAACGGATGTCCCGGTACCAGACCTGGAGCAGCGGTCACGCCACCGTTTCCATAGCCAGTCACAGATATGACACCTGGAGACGGAACCAATTCGCTGCCATTCAGTGGAGCTGCATACCAAGACCCTGTGGGATAATGGCGAGTGGGCCAACTATGCTGCTGCTGCTGATGGTGGCCATGGGCGTGGATCGAGTGGCTTGAATGGGGGTGCGGACTGAAGTGGCTGGGCACACTCGTCATGAGTTGCTCGTGACTGACTGGAGGCGGCGCCCCTGGGGTTGATATAGCCGAATCCAAGTTCGAGGCTTGTTGAGTGTTCAGCATGCGTATCTTCTCATAAATCGACTCCTGCTCGCTACCCTCGCCAGAATTGCTGGCACCTCCACTCTCCGATGAGTTCAAAGGTGTTGCCGTTTGTATCAGATCGTTTGTGGAGCTCGGCCCCACCCCACTCGGTCCACTTACGCTATTTCCATTACTACTACTATTACCATTGCTACTGCCATTGCCGCTGGCTGCTGCATGGCTTGGATTTGGGTTTGTGTTTGCGTTTGGATTGGGATTGGAGCTGCTCGGTCCAGTATTTTGCTGCTCCTTTTGTGCTGCTAAGTTCCTCAGTACTCTGTTTATTGACGATACCTTAAAGCATACAAATCACCAGAATATTGAAAATGGTTAATTTATAATATAATCGAAGTATTATATATAATAGATGTCATCAAATAAATACAATCTTATAATACTCATCAACAGAGAACAAGTCGATCGGGACGCAGTGAATGTATCAACTGCGACAGTTATCAAATTTGGTATTCAAGTTCATGTACAGCATACACAGATGTGAAATATTTTTCCTAGTAGTTAGTCCGTGCGTTTCTCCACAAAATTCAACTAATTATAACGAGCCACTGCTCAAGTAATGTTCTTTTCAGGTTATGCGCTCGTTTATGAATGCCTGTTTTAGGTAGGGAATGTATAAAATGCTGTTAGAAGTACTTTTTGTTAGAGCAGGTGGGACCTGGCTAGAGGATATCTCCTAGTCGTGTTGTTATATCCAAAATCCATTGAAAATGTGTATAAATAGTATATTGGTTGTGTGCGACCACATTGAGTAAATAGATTGTTGGTCACCATCAATAGACGAGTCTTCTGCTGTCATTCTGTCTGAATGCTTCTATCTCGAAAGCCATAAGAGCTAGAGCGTTCAAATTTAAAACGTAGCTCCTCATAGTGTCCTCGCAGAAGGAGTTTTTAACGATAACTTACCATCGAAATCGATTAAAATCTTAGAGAGCAAGAGACCCTAAATTTGATATGTAGACTCTCGTAAAGTACACACAGATCGATAAGTTTTTGGATATATGGTCTTTGGCATCTAAGCACATGTGGATGCCATACTTATGCCATAAAAATTTCGTTAAGATCGGACACGAAATTATTTTCAATAGTGTGGGGCGAAAGCTGTGTATTTTTGACTTTGTGAATGTATGTGTAGAAGAAAGCTAGAATGTTTGTGTCGGCAGATCCGCGCGGGGTTCGCGGGGAATCTGTTAGTCGGGCATTTTCGACTAGAGCACTCTTACTTGTTTATTATTATTATTTTAAGGCAGTGCCTGCGCATGACAGCGCTTTTGAAATGAATTCAAAAGGCAACAGCAAAAGCAAAAGCAAAAGCGAACGAAAGAAAGAACAAACGCTCGAAACATATAAATGAGCGAGTGAGAACAACAGGGAAAAGTGCAGTTGAGTGGAAAAATTAGGCAGAAATGTCCTTTCGGGGGAACGAAAGCGAACGCTTCTATAAAAACTTATTTTTGAAAAAATAAAATGAACGCCATCCCCGAAAGCGTCGCACATACATACATGTACATATGTACGCATGTATATGTACCTTCCCTACCACGGCAGGTATACATATATACATATGTATGTAAATGTAAATAACTAGTTATGTACATAAGGGATTGAGTGCAAGTTTTTATATATGTATGTTCACCTAACAGAGGATCCTCACACATAAAATGTGCATATATGTATATGTGTGCTTCTGTCGTCGAGAAAAGTCATACGGCGGGCTAACATTATTTGGTGGCTGGGACAAAATTAACTTAAAATAAAAAAATTTAAATAAGTGTTAATTAAACTAGCCCGAAATTTATCAAACAGTATTTTGTAAAAAGCAAAAAAAGAGTTTAATTTGATTGAATGAATCAAAGAAAATACGGATTCTTTGAATACATTTTGAAGATTCTTTCGCGAAAAGATGAAGAAATGTCTGCTGGACAGGGTTTAAAAGTTGTATTATACTAACTAACCAAAGCAGTTAACTTAATTAAATTTAATTAATTAATACTAGGCGAATTTTATCAAATAGTATTTTGAAAAAAGGCAAAAAAAATGGTTTAATTTGAATCAATGCATCAAAGAAAATACGGATTCTTTGAGTACATTTTGAAGATTCTTTCGCGAAAAGATGAAGAAATGCCTGCTGGACAGGGTTTAAGAGATGTATTATTCTAACTAACCAAAGCGGACAGCTTAATGTATACAAATGTAACCAGGCTAAATACAAACAAAAAAATAACAGCCTGTTTTTAAGTAAAAATCTCTCTTTGAAAAGAACAAACGGATAACGAAAAAGACGTTAAATATTTGCTGGGTTACATTTAAACGTTAACGTATATTAACAGAATTTATTTTAATAAATAACTTGTTAGCCGTTATTTTCGTTCGAATCGACATAGTTGTTATTAAAAACAGAACTTCAATAGTTGTTGTTTTTTTTTATGTATATTTTTTCTGATGCCGGCCATATACACTGCCCTCCTTCGTGGGCATATATAAGCCCCAGGACTCTCGGAACAAATTAGAGCGTGCGGCAACATTCAGCTTGTAACTGGCAAACACTAACGCTTTCACCCCTCAATGATTTTGTTACGAGCCGGGCTCCGGATCCTGGGTCTCCCGTCCAATCGGTCGATTCAGTTGCTGTTTCTTTTGCCAGCGCATAAAAGGAAAAATGTGATTTCCCCTCGCGCGTGAATTTCAACGCCTAACGCTTTGTGGTGACGGTACGGTCTGGGCTGTATTTATTTAATATTGTACGTTTTTCATACTTTTTCTAGCACTGATTTCCCTTTTTGTCGTTTAATGTGCATAAAAGATTTTCTCTTCCATTTGAATGAGCACATTTTCCACACAACTGTCAATGAGGAAAAGTACAACGCAGGCCATCGGCATCGCTGTCACAATTCATTTTGCCTCTTTGCTTCTTTCCTTTTTGGCATACTTAATAAACAATAAAAAAAATGGTAATGCTAACTAGATGTAAGAATAGGCGAAGAAAAGAAAAAAAAAATGGCGTCAAGAATACAAAAGAAGTTCAAATAGCGAGGAAAATGGCATATAATAATGTGTTGCTTAAATTATTAAAAAATACTCGAAATTTGGCATCAATTTTGGCTACAGTCTTAAAGCACTTCCCCACGCCAATAAGAAAGATAAAAACAAAATTTAACAAAAAGACAGGATAAGTTCTAGATAAATTAAACTATTATAATTAGTTTTGTTTGTTTAGCCTGAGCGAAATAGAGATAATAAAGATATATTGGTTTTTTGCAAAATCAGACAGGCGGAGGGCCTATATAAAGTAAATAATTTCTTCGTCCGTCTGCATAAGCTCCTTGAAATTTAAAATATATACATTCTCCCATACCAAACGCAAAACTTTCCATTTCCAAAATATCGATGAAAATAAGTTTTGAGACATTTTTTTTAAACATTACACAAGTACTATACGAGCTAGATACGCCATAATTGATAGGTATACAATAATATTATGATATCGAATCCCCGAATGTTATTTTGTTGGAATATCAAAATTTAGGTTCATATAACACCTTGAGATAAACTTACACTTGGTATGTTGTCATTTGTGCACACATTCTCCTGCAATAATCTATCTCGAATTTCCCATGCAAATATGCTGGGGCATTCCCGTTTGTATTGCGAGATTTTGCTAACGACTTCTGCGGTGGCTACTCGTGGCTTAGAGCCTCCAATCGCTCGTGGTCGAATACTTCCTGTTTCGTAATATCTGAAATAAATTGTCAGCAATACTTTAATGCAATTTGCAAATTTATCAAAACTTAAATACTTAATTAATAAATTACATATTACTAACCGAAGCAAGTAGATTATTGATTAATCTATATGTACATATGAGAAGAGCTGGCCAACAGCCTGTCGGAGCTACCCCTTTCTACAATCTTATTCCCCTCCAGGCCAACAAATTCATTTGGATATATACGGACGGGTCTAAGCTAGAGAAGTAGATCGGAGGTGGCCAGTATGAGGAACACTACCGGGTGACACTTCCAAGAGGTTGCATTGCAGTGCAAGGAAGCATTCTCATCTCGCGATGAGGAAGAGGCAGAGACAGCGTCTCAGCTATTCTGTACTCTTCCAGCTAGTAAAACTAGAGTCCGTTTCCATGGAGCTAAGTCCCCAATAAACTATTACTGTAATTATCTGGGAATCGGGTGGCGGATCACTCAGTGGACCAAAAATGGTCCAAATGAGTCCTGGGCAAGCTGCCCTCGCCTAGAGCACTGACCTAACCTTACCTACGTAAAAGCTGATCCTTGAGCATTATTTAAAAATCCGTCGATTAACCTTGTATATTAACTCTATACCTTATATACACATATATATTTAAGTATACAAATCGCACAATAATGAAATTAGTCAAATGCATATATACGGTACTCACCTGCCTAAAATTTTACTAACACATCCATTGGAAACTTGAAGGATCCGAGAAATATCACATGGTCGAGCTCCGGAGTGAGCAAGCTCAACGATTTTCTGGCGAGTCGAGTCAGGTAATGGTCTTCCCCCAACAAAGACTCCACCCAATTGATTTACCCCGCTGTGACCTGAAATGTTCAATGTAGATATTGTTGTTAATCAACCGATATACTGATTTGTATAAAGTTAACTTAAATGTGCACAAATTGCAATTGACTACAGAAGTAAGTAAAGTTTATCCAACTAAGGGATACCGTGTGCCTACTACGTGTATGTATTCATACTCATGTAAGCTGACTTTGCTGCCTGCCCTTTCCTTTATTTAACTTTTTGAAATAGTGTTTCTTGCTGGATCGTCATAAAATTTCCGGTCGTCAACTTTACATTTAAATATGTGCTTGTACGAAAACTTAAGCAAGCATAAAAAATTAAAAGGTAGCTAAAAATTGAGTCATCTGTAAGATATTTTCTTATTGACTGTTAGATTACCCATAAATACAATAGAATATCTACATGTATATATATCTGTCCTGACTGACCGACTGACCAACTGACTGACTGATTGACTGATTGACTGAATAACTGACTGACTAATTGACTGGTGATCAACGCACAGCCCAAACCATAAGAGCTAGAAATTTGAATCTTTACTGTCGTTACTTTATGTTATGGAGGTGCACGCTAAGACTGGGTTTTGGGAAATTTCACCAGCAAGTGTGGAATAATCGCGAAGCGGTCTTTGTTCAAATTAGTTTCTGGAGCATTTCACTCGTTTCGAAAAATCCATTCCCCCTTGATAATTATGGGGATCAATTTTGCGTTCGCCTTCAAATTCATTTCCAAAGATCCTTATGAAATATTATTTTTGCAGAATCATAGTATTCTCGGTGAAAAATGCGATTTCAATATTTTTTGGGATGTTTTCGATACATAATAAAATACTTGTTACAGCGATTTTGGAAATTCCAATCGCAACTTTGGTAATAGGCAGACAACGGTTAAATAAATGTTTTTTGTTTGCCATCCGATTGGCTTCAAAAACATTTTCAAAGCTCTTACTAAAAAATTTATATGAGACGTGTTTCACACTTTTCGCAAAATCCGGCCGTGATGCAAAATGCGTATTAAAGGTTAAATGGGCGAAGTTTCGAGTGTGAACATGGTAATCATGGTGGAAAAGTTATGTATATTTAAAATTTTTAGCATAAATCTTGTCACGGTCAGGGCTAGGCAATACCCGCTAGTATATAATATATTGTTTAAAAAAAGTATATATTATATATTAATATATATATGTGTTTAAACAAATAAAAGGTTCTAGTCGGGAAGTCTAGTAGTAATAAATAATAATTAAACAAAAAAAAATAAAGTTCCCTTGGCAGGGTTCGAACTCGCAACTGACCGCATTACTTGCTGCCGCCTCTACTCAAAAGCCACACCAGCACAGAAAGCAATATAATCCCAATTTCAATGCTGTTGATAGAATTCAAAGAAGACGCGCGTGAATGTGTGTGTGTACATGTATACAGAAATTCTTGGAATTTGCGCTTGTTGCCGCTAATAGATAAAAAGGCAAAAAGTATTATCAAAAAGTCAATTGTATTTGAATTGTGGCTAATATTTGTGGGCAGCATAAATTGATATTTTTACATGAAATTGATAAATTGATATTTAAAATGAAAGATACTTGCTATATATATACTATTCTAGAAGCTACATGTCAAGTCTGGCACTAGGAGGACCTAAAGCTTAAATTTCAAGCTCTTATAGGTTCTGAGATCCTTGCGTTCATACATACGGACGGACGGACAGACGGACGGACAGACAGACGGACATGGCTAGATCGACTAGGCTGTTAATGCTGATCAAGAATATATATACTTTATGGGGTCGGAGATGCTTCCTTCTGCAAAATATATTATACCCCTTTTCAATGGGTTCAGGGTATAAAAATGTATTTTCCACCTGCTCGCCACTTTGAGTCAAATTTAGTTTCTACACGATTTACTTTCAATTGGAAAAAAATTAGTTTTAGCACGCTCTTAAAGTGTCAAGATGAATACGGTCTTTTGGGCACTGAGTACATTTCTGGGTCCGAACAAACTTTGTTTGGTAACAACCCAGTCTGGTTGTTATGAGATTGAAGAGCTCTATCTATTAGACAAGGCAGATAAGAACTGAAACAAGAGCAGAAATAATACATAACAAAAAAAAAAGATAATAAAATCAAGCGGTCAACCAAAAAGATTTTGAAAAAAGGTCGCACTCGTCAAGTCGAGCATGGATTTGAAACAAATTTCCTAGTATTGATTGTGGGATAATCCCCAAATCTGCGTATCAATTTGATTTCTACTTTAAGCCAGCGAAGCGGCAACTCGCCTGCCAGTTGTACCCCATTATCGAATGTTTGGAGATGAGGGTCAAAGCACTATAAAAGTTGAGCATCTTGACCATTAAAGTGAAATCAGCTTTCGATACATAACTGCGATAGCATAACTCTATATATCAATATTCTTGTTGTACTCTGCACTGTACACACAAGAGACCAATTCATGCGATTTATTAACATTTTAATCCTGTATATCTATAAACAATTTGAACATGTTTAAAAAACGTTCATAATATTTAAGCTTTTGAGCGCCTTTATATTTGAAAACAGTCCAGCATTATCTATACTAACCCAAAATTAAAGATGATTTTGAATACAAATTACGGATATATGTTGTTTATTGAATATTTACATCGAAATGTGAATGCAGACTATGTGCCAGAATCAGCTGTTGTGAATAGGACTGAACTACGGTAATTCAGGTAAATATGGCCTAATCTTAGTTGCCCCAGTAGTGTAGTGTTTCAGAGTCCAGTTTCTACTATTTACCAATCCATGCATATGTATATGAGAATGTATGGTATGTATTGTATGTGGGTTACAAGAGCCACAAGCAAATGCGATGATTTACCAAATGCAACAAGGCTGACAATAGCCAAAAACATCTTGCCAATGGGATTAACAATGTAATTGCAACACAAATCAATCGGCAAACAATTGTGCTCGCAGTAATATACTGGACCCGGGTCCAGACCAAATGCATCCTCGTGATGACTGGTACTGGGAATGGGAGGAGAAACAACCACTAGGAACCACTTCGTACAATGGACGTGCGTCGGTTACCCTAGTGCCGCTAAAGAGGCTCATTTGTGTGATGAATGCTTGAGCGAAAGAGTCAACGATATATAAATAAAGTGAGAGGGAAGTATGAAGTATGCATATAGTAGTATGTATGTCCATGTTCGACACGAGTAGAAGGAACAAAGACACAGACAAAACAAAATGCTGACGCTTTTGTTTTTTTATTCGACTTCGGCTTTCAACATCGATAATTGTTTTCATTTGTAACGACATGACACGAAACGGTCGCCGAACGAACACACGCTCTTCAATATCATTATAGGTGGAAAATGATTGTATTGATTCACAAACAAACAATGGCACGGACATCACAGAAAGTACTTATCAGCACAGCGGGCGAGCGATTGCCAGGTAGGGACAGGGTCGGGGACCGAGGGCCGAGGGCCGGCATGGGGACGGAACCATGTAAAACTGGGACAGTAGCTCTACCGGCTATGTGTTCTTTGCCGATCCCAATACCCTCCTGTGCCCAATAAACGTCTTTACTTCGACTTAGAAGCCGAATCCCTCCCGAGCATTGTCCCGGCTATGATCAGCGACGGGTACGGTTTTTGTCTGACAACTCTGACGGCTCTGAACGTGCTCCCGGGCATTGTGTTGCCATAATTGCCAGCTATGCTGCATCCTAGACCTTCGACCAAGTCATCCACTACACAATGCTAACAAAACAATTAGTGGAAAAATCAATGAAGACCAACATCTTTCAATTTTCACACCGAATGCCAAATATTTCTACTCATTTTCACAAATCGGTTCAGTGACCGATACGTGTACGTACTCCTCATACGGAGCCGCTACCCTGTGAAGTGCCTAAGTCGAATAGCTTAATTATGTGTGTGAAAGTGTGTGTGTGTTTAAATCTTTCTATATTTTGACACATAATTTGTATAATTCAATTAAATGTCCAGGAAGACACTTTTTGATTTAAAGCCAAAATGTGCGTCGGGTTTCGAAATGTGAAACTTAATATATAAATTACAGTCCAAAAAAAAAATATTACCCTAATTATAGAAATTCACATTTGACTTAAAATCGCCACTTCTAATTATTATACTTTTTTCTCAACTGAGTAAAATGCATTTTTCTAACTAAACTAAAAGTTTTGGCGGCTTGGCGTTCCATTCTAAAAATTGTTAAAGAAGAATTTAAAAAAAATCCATATATTTTTTATGGAATGTGTATATGCAATTACAGAATTTTGGACCAGTATCCGGAATTAAAGCGTCAGTGCCCAGCCTGTGAAGGGGATCAGAAGAGGATGTATGTGAATGCCCTGTACCTGCAGATACAGGTCCCAACATTTGCATGAAATACCAAATTTGGTAGATAGATCCAAAAATTTCATTTATTTTGGAATACCTTGTCCCGGTTAATTCATAAAGACCGGGCAAGTAACAACAAAATTAATGAATATTGCTATCTCATATTTGTGGGGATACTTGTTTAAACCAAACTATTTTTGGAGAAAATTATGTTTCCGGTCGGGTTTCAGATTGGCCTTGTACTTGGGTTCCGGGTTCAAACCAGTTCGGTTCAAAATCGGTTTGCAGCACTGATAAAAATAGACGCGTTATGACTAACAAGAATAACATTAAAAACGCTTCTATTATTAAGAAATATGGTTTACAAGATCTTGTATATGAAGGTAGGATGACAAACTTTGAAACAAGGACATACATTCATCATCTGTTAAGTGGTAGTAAGTGGTGGTAAAATACGAAGATGTCGAATGTGGTGGCTGTGGTGCTGTAGTCGCATCCGCGGCGGCGGCTTCCATCGCAGCAGTTGCAGCAGCCTTTCCGCCAATACCGCCCAGTCCGCTGCCACCAGCGACGCCCAAACAGGGCAGATTTCTCATAGCAAGAACATTGTCTATAAGAAAAGAGCAAAACAAACGAATAATCATAATAATCACCAACACTGGCAAACATACATATTTATATACATATACACAATTGCATAGCGATTAAATACTTAAGTGTGCCTATTGCCACAACTTGGTAACATGGACTTTTTAGTTAATCGATTCAAAGTTAATAATTTGCTACTGCTTTTTTTTATCCAAATAGTTACCTGCTCTTAACAGTTACCTGCTATTCGCAGTTCGTCCTGACGACCAACAACAAGCGATAATCACCAAGAGTGAGCATTTGACCAACATTGACCTCTCTAAACAGGTCACTGAAAACATTTTGCCTTACGGAAATATATATATAAATAATAGACAAGCAACTACTGTTAGTTTAGGGGATACTCTTTTGCAATCACATAGTGTATACAAGAGTATGCTGAGGCTCGCTAGCTTATAATTCACAAGTTGTTATAGCTCCAAAATGCTCACTTTTGATAATGTTTGATTTTGTTGTTGGTCGTTAGGCCGATATTACAATCTAATTTATTATTTAAGATTATTGTTGTACTTGTAAATGATAATATATAATGTAACGAGTTGAATCAGAATACTAATGAATTCTTCATAAAGGTAGTAAAACATAATATTTAAAAAAAATTGTACACGAAAAAAAAAGTATCATAATAGGTTTTATTGTTATAACGGTTTCTATATATGGTGTTCCGATGCTCCCGCTCCCATAAGATCTATATAGTTTTTCGGTCTAGCCAAATTCTACGCATGTTAAATAGTTGCCACCCGAGAGACTAGTTTTTGCAAAGGAGCCGACAGACAGACGAGCATTGAATACTGACCGAGAATATATATCGTATTATATTCCTAATGGGGGCTGGTATAGATGTTTCCTTTCAACGTGTTTCCTTTGCACTTTAGCCAATTTTCAAAATAAATATAACAGTATAACGGTTACTTGTACGATACGTGACGTGTGTTTATCTTAATATTTCCATCCTTTCATCGTATTTTCGTTTCATTAACTTTTCTCTCTGATCATCAATGATCGTTAGAGATATAAAATTAACCAGATAATTTTCAAGGAAAAGGAAAAAATTAATTTCGCGGAGCAGCCTGTTTATTGTGGTTAGTGGAACCAAAGACAATATAAACAGTGTTTATACAATGTCTATATTGTCCTTGGTGGAACTCTCCAAAATCTTTTCTATTTAACTTATGTACGCCTTGGAAATGCCCATATATCTTTTGATATATACCCTTTTGCTAATCAGACAGTAGAAAAGCATTCTCTAAGATTGTTAACTATAACTGCAATTATCCTAAGTTAAAATCATTGCATACGACTTAAACAGTCATAAATATCGATTCGGTAATTATTACTGCTGCGATGTCGATCGGTGGAGCACATCGTTTCTATATAATGTGTGGCGTCAACTGATTTATTAGACATAATTTGACTAGCTTGTGCTTACAAAAAAATTGTATTTCGGCATGCCGAAATATTAATTTAAAAAGTTCATTACTAAAGCTGTATTCTGTATTCTAAATCTTAAACAACAGAAAAGTTTTCAATATACAAATTCTTTTTCTAGCAGTTCTACATATAGAACAATATAATATGAACCCGCCGACTTTGACATATATATATTCCCGCAACAAAAATACGAACCTATTCATGGCGATAGCTTTAAACTAAGACCCTAGTTTCACAGAAACAGACCGACGGGCAGTGCTGTAAAAACTCGGCTGTCAATGCTGATGAAGAATATATATACTTAATGGAGTCAGAGATGTCTTCTCTATTCTGTATACATATTTCCTAACAAAATATATATAATACCTATAATAAGCAAGGGCATAAAAAGCAACAATACCATATGTTAGTTAAATAATGGCTGATAGAATGTCTTTTGCAACTCAAGGGCTGGTTATCGCTACAGTGTTGTCATCTTTTCAATACATATTGGTTAATTTTGTGAATAATAGCATTCGAAAATGGTAGTTTTTTGGCTTAATTTTAATTGATGGACCAGTTCTAGTGGTGTCGACGATGGTCAGCTTACCCTTATGATTCATATCATCCAAGGTGGGCAGTCGTTCAATTAGTGCTCCTGCCGACCATGGCACTGATCCTATAGCTGCCGGAGTCGGTTGCAGGGTAAACATAATTAAAAGATATGTTTTTTTTGTGGGGTAACAAGATGCTTGCGATCCCAGCGATCTTTGGGGATCGGAACGTCAACGAGCGCCGGCCAGTGGACGATACAAAATGAGAATAGAAATGTTGCTTTTGTTGTTGTTGATGATATTCAGATTACGATGGAAATCGGTATTGTGCTTGTCGTATTAATTTATGTACATGCACTTTGAGAAACTTGGGTTAGTATGCGCGCTCTACTCGTCATTTGAGTGTCAACAAAGACCATTTAAAATAAATCCCAGGACTCACTGCAGGCGGCAATGTTTCACGCAGGGCTACCACAACAGGATCGAGCCAGCCTTAGGGAAATTCATACAGATGGCGATGATTTTTTTATTTAAGGCCTACATATGCAAGTACCACATTTATTGTATGTACATATGTATTATATATGCTTATAATGTGCTAAAAATGCATTGGTTTTTGTTGAACAGTCGTTTTTGTTATGTGAGCAGCCGCTTTTGTTTTAGTTCACTTGTTCTTTTTTCACTCTTTCCTGCTTTACTTAGAGGTCATACAAGGAACCCATTATTAATAGCACCGGTGAGTAGCACGTTGTTCACGTTGCTTAAAGCCATCTCGGGCACCCGTACATTGATTCGTTTGACACATTTCACTTTTTTCTTGATTGCGAAAGTAATAATTCATGTTAATTAACATTTGTGAACTTCTCATATATATTTACACACTTAACATATTCAACTTTAACGCTTTCTATGCCAGTTAAATAAACCGTAACCGATGTACAATATTTAGCTCATGATCGTCGGACCGTCGGAATAAGTAGTTACAGTGAATGCGCGAGCCACAGTGCGAATGCAAATGCCAATATGACTATCGCATGCTTCAGACTTTGGCCTGAGGTTCAAGCGTATGGGGCTAATTTGAAGCGTGGTGGATAGGCAGCCCTCTTATTGGCTCTCGCAGCCCATCCACTTCCACCTCTGCCGCATTCAGCTACAATGATTGGCTGCTCGCTCGTCTACTGTCTATCTCGCTCGCGCCCGGCTCGCAAACTCCATCTGCGTGCACAGTACAGCAATACAAGCAAAGCATGCATGTGTGTGTGGCTTACCCCCTGATCCTGGGCCCTTGTCTGCGCTGGGCAGTTGCACCGCTTGTTGCGCGAGTGTTTCAACTAAACACACACAAAAAGGTCAAGCCACGGCTTGTTAATTCTGGCAAAGATATTTTTGTTTATTGAATAATTTTTTTTGTTCTGAGCAAGTAAGTTTTATAAATTGATGTATCCATGCAACCATGCAACCAGTAAGGGAAAATTGTTACCAAAATGAAAAAATACAAGGCCAGTTTTGAGGCAGATTGCATTTATTAACCAACATTGCTACTTCAATACGCGACACTCGTAATGCTCTTCTACATAATGTGCGTGTGGAGAATGTGGAGGAGCATGCATGTACATGGGCCATATGCATATATAACCCGTGTATACATGCATGTATAGAGATATAAAAATATAAACATACATTTGCGTGTACACACACACACAGTCAGACATGTATGCATGTTGGATTGGGAAACTGGCATTCTATTTGAATTTCCCGAATGAACGGGCGAGTAAGTTGCAGCCGCCCAATTGAATTGTTTCATTCCGATACAATAACCGCTAGACTCTTCCGTTAACTACCCACACGGCTTCCGTTCCGACAAACACAAACACGAAGCCAAATACGAATGGGCGGGATGGAGCTGCTGGAGCCTGTTCCTGTTCCTGTTACTGATTCTGGGCGTGGGCGCGCGGTTGTTTTCAAAATGACGGCGAGGTCGGACGCGGGCGCGGACACACCCACATGCACGAAGCCAGAGCATTGTGAGTGAGTCGATTATCGTTTGTCTTGCTCTCGCATGCGTGCGCGTGCTCTACCGAGCTCGGCCGCTAGAGCGAAATGGATATATGTATGCATATCTAAGAGCAAGGGCACATATTTAAATTTTTGCACAAAATGTTTACAAAATTGTTACAGCAATTACTACAAGCGACGAGTACGTATAATCCCATTGAATTGACACTTTCTTGCGGGAAAAGCATACACATTTCAAGCGCTTCTGATTTAGATTTCTTTAATGATTCCAAAATAGGCACCATGCAGCTCAATAAAATTATCAAAGACCAGGACAACTACAACATGTACCAATACAGTGCCGTTTGCAACACAACGACCTTTAAGTATAATCGTTTTCACAATATCTTAACATTTTTCCCTTTTACCATCTTGCAGGAGGAATTAGAAAAGAAACTTCTCCGATCACATAAAAGGTATGTGGAACTAATCTTGATGAAAAAATAACTGTTTCGTTTTCGGAAATATAGCATAAATAAAATCTTTTTCGATTGAATTGAATATGCCACACTTATGTTTATTCAGATCATACTCCTTCTAATGAAATTGTCCTTTAATTGAAGAAAGCGTCACCATTTTTTAATTATTGTTTTTTACATTAAAAACTTATTATCCCGATTTACTGACTATTTGACGATCACCGTAAAGCCAAACCCCTGATAGCTATAAAGCCGAATTCCTTAAGGTTGTACAGAGATTTCTTCACGCAAATTGGAAAAAAATTGTGGAGTCCAGGTGTATGTAACTTTTTTTTAGCATCCGACTTACATGTTTTTCAGACTTACAATTTTTAGAAAGTCCACCAATTGTTATATTATAAGTTTATAAGTTTATCAGCCCTGGTTGGAAGTCGTGTAGCTAATAGTATGAATAACAATTTTGTTGTTTTAAAAAAACTAAAATAATCTGCAAACATAAATTGTAGTATTTCAATTATTTGTTTTCAATGTGATTAAGTATAATATGATTTTCAATAGATGTACGTGCCATTTTTTCAGACGTTTACATATACTATTTTCAATAGGCGGAAATGGGTGAAATGGATTTCATTGTGAAATGAAATGGGTAAGAATAAGAAAAGAATAGTGTATTATAAAAACAGATGTTAGAAAATAAATAGAAGGATTTTTTACCATGCTTTGTAGTACGTAATTCTACGAAGTGTGTAAAAGCAAGTCTTTAATGAATCTTACATTAATCTTGGAAAATGATTTTGAATGAACTCAAAAACACACTTTGCAACCTAAGAATGGGCTTATCCAAAATCATTTTGGTCCGTCTTCCTCGTATTTATCGCCAATCAGGTGGATTTTTCAAATGTGTCAAAGTCTGCAATTAATTTTCACAAAAATCATTTAAAATTAGTTTGAAACAGATCGAGCGAAGGTCATAAACGACCTTTTTACCACTCTTGTGGATGGAATATTTGAAAGCTCCATAGTATGGGGAAAGTAGGGAAATTTTCCATACCACCTTAAGTTCCCACTTCCATCCAGGGGAGGGTATTTCCTACAAATATTGCAAATAACATTTTGAATATGAAAACATTTCCGCCTATTTGGAAGTTTGGAAGCTTTCAAATGTCGGTGAAATATGTATCCAAAATGTGGACCTTTAAAGTTGAGAACCGCTTTGTCCATAAATTTAAACATATATTTTTGAAAATGAGTTTTAATTCGGCTGAATGAAAAATAGAATAATTTCTGTTAACAATCTTAGACGACCGTTTTCCGGAAATGTTCAGTCAGCCTAGAAGAACGTCGGATTTTCCGAAATTGGGAAAATAGATATACATATTCATATGAATGATGCCAACCGTCAATAAAAGAAACTAAACATTGAGAAAATTTGCAGCTACTTAGCTCTTTGGATTTTGAGCAAGGCAAAAATGTTTGGACTTGGTCCAGAGTATATCCTTGTTGTAGCTCACCCTTCTGAAAAAACTGCAGGCTAGCCTTGTTGGGCAGGCACCCCTTTTTGTGAAACTCGGAATTTTAATTTGTTGAGATTTAGATCAAATGTGCGTATGCTTTTATCATTCGGCGTTCATTCGAATATTAACAGAGAAGACGGCAGCACTGCACGCAGCGGAGCAATATAAGTATTATTTCAATACATATAAGACACATGAAAGTAAGTCTCTCAGCAGGAAGTTGTGCCCTGTGTCCTGTGCCCTGTGCCCAGGCTGTGCTCTGGACTCGGCGCTGCCACGTGCCGTGTGAACGGCGTTGGTGCAAAACTTTTCCGCTTTCACTGAGCGTGAGCTTCGGGGTAGATTAAGCTTTGCGTCCCGGTTCCAAGGCCGGATCCACCGCCTGTTATGTTGGGTGCACCGCCTGTTTCGCACCAATAAGTATTAATAAATGAAATCCAAATCTACGTTCCAGATCTGTATAGATATACGTTTGCACAACTACATACCAATATGCTTAAAAACAGTATTTGAGCATTATTGAAAGCCGAGAAAAGGTTCACTTTAAGTTAGATGCTTGGGATATATGTATATCCCATATGCCAGATGTCGCAGCCGATTGGGCTCCGATTGACTCCGTCGAATGTATCCAAAAAAGTTTGCCCTAAAATTAACAAAATATCGCCAAAATAAATTATCAGAAAATCAGTTTTTAGCGGATACTTTAAGCTCGAGCCAAACTATGCCCTTTACATGGCTCGTTGGGCGTGGCAGCGTGCAAGCACGCGATTACGATAACGATTACAATTCGATTACCGTAAATTGTTACGTCATTTTGTTAGCGCTTTGCCGCTTTTTAACTCCAGCTTGTTGCCGTTGTTGCCGTTGTTGCTTCAGCAGCATGCCACCGTCTGATATGCTCTCTGCGTTCTGTGTGAAGTCTTGCGAGTAAGCGATAAGGACGCATGCCATATTATTCAGAACAAACGTTGCCGTCGTCGTTGCCGTTGCCGTTGTCGTTGCCGTTGTCGAGGCCGAAGGGGCAACAGGATACGCATGGCGCGAGATATTAAAACTTACATATGTACAAGAGAAATTGAAAGACAAAGTCGACTCACAATCCAAGGCCCACACTGAAAAGCCTATGAAGTAGGTCTTGCATCTATTGAACATGCGATAAAGCAGAGTTTAATGCCAACCGCATAAAGTGTATTAAATATATTCAATCAGCCTCAACAGCACAGTCCGGGTCAAATGAATAATGTTGATAATTCGAATGATCTCTAATTTTGTAAAAGCTAGAGTACTCTGGTTGGAAGTGCCCCACTAGGGGATAGCCTAAACCTTCTTCAACCAACACCAGATGCCTTATCTTACCTATTTGATGGGCATTATTTAAGTCAAGGAAAATCCAAGCTGGAGTCCCCCAGGGCAGTGTCCTTGCTCCGTGGCTCTACACTGTTTATACAGCCGACATGCCGACGGTGGACCCGACGACACTGGAGAATCCGGATAGCTTCAACCTCGCCACGTTCGCCGACGATACAGCAATCCTCTCAAAAGCCAGCTGTGTTTACCAAGCCACTGACCAACTACAAGAATACCTGCACGAGTTTGAGACGTGGGCATCAAAGTGGCGAATTGCCATCAACAGGCAAAAATCGATATGCTGCACATTCGCGATCCGGAGAGATACCTCGCCAGGAGTATTCCTCCAAGGCGAACTTCTTGAGCATAAAGACGGCCATCGCTACCTGGGAGTCTACCTTGATCGCAGGCTCACTTGGAGCAAACACATCGCAACAACATGCCACAGCGTACGTCAAAAACTAAAAAGTATGGCTTGGCTCCTTAAGGCAAGCAGCAAGCTTTCTCTGAGCAATAAGGTGCTGCTTTATAAAACCCTCCTGGCCCCCAGTCTGGCGCTATGCAAGCCAAATTTTCGGCACGGCAGCAAAATCCCACTTGAGGA